AGATTTATTTTCTAAATGTTGACGTTTATCACTTGAGCAGACCTGCAATTCGTCACCCACTTCTCGTCGATAATCCGAAGTCAATTTGCTAAAATGTGAATCTTTTTCTTTTATTTGGTTCTCCGATTCCATACCCCCACCCACCACACCACACACACACACACACACACACACACACACCTAAGACCCATGTGACAAAAGGATTAACAATCGTCCTAAATGTTAGATCACTCTGGAAGATTGTGCAACCCTCAGCAGTGCCTGTGGGGAAAGACCCCTCTAAAGGAGCCCCTCCCTCAGATCACAGCACATAAAGTCTGACAGTGGGCGTAAACAGCTGTAAACCTTTCAAGTCGGGGTCAGTTTTTGAATAATCTGACATGTCTGACCTGGAGCGCAGTGGCAGTAATGTTTGCCGTGGGGATGAATCACCACTGCGGCTCACTCAACACGATTCAGCTCTGTTGAAATCAGCTTCCCCTCATTTCCAGGCTCGCTCTGTGACCCAGACTGATGGTGAGTCACATCGCCAGAACTTTAGTTTTTTTTTTTTTTTTGATAAATTGAATCTCTGATTTCTGCCTAGAAAACTAGTCATAAAATAGAAAAGGCCAAGCATTCCTTGAAGGAAGGCGCATCACCTGCTCCAGTGAAGCTGAGAAATGAGAGTTGCAGCCATTTTTGGTCAAACCTTGAAAAAACAAACACAACATGGACTAATGGAAAACACTGTGTGATCTCTTACTGCTGGGAGTATGTGTTGGGAACCACCGTCAGCTACCACCACACCAAATTTTAATTGATGGTCTATGAAATTCACAACAGCGTAACCACTTTCAGGTAAACTAAAGTTATCACCTGTGGCGGCCATCTTGAACTGGGTCAATTCTAAAAGTTATTCATGTTCGTTCAGTGATTGCTTTCAAGGAAATTCATTGGAATCCAAACAGTTGTTTACAAGATATTTTGCTAACACAGAGTGTTGACTCCAACAAGGTTTTCAGCACTGAGCTCAAAGCATTTGTTGGGACGACCCTCGGCTACTAACGCATCAGATTAGATCAACATCTCTAAAGGTTCTGTCACGCTGTAAGGTTTTACACAACTTATGAAAAAAATATTTGACTAACTAACAAATAAAGTTATATATTTGATCATTTTGTTGGCAAAAGAGGCTTCCAGTTGATTTGTTTAATTCCATCTTCAATGAAAACGTCTCCAAAATGTTCAGAAGTTGTTTATAACAGTGTGACAGGGCCTTAAAACTGTCTGATTTAGAAGCTTTCTGTTTTCTAAATCAGCTGGCTGTGTCGGCCATCTTGAATTGAGCTGAGGCCAAAACTCAGTCAGCTGTAGATGACTATCCAAAGATTAATTTCTGGGAGTTTCATTAAAATTCAAACAGTGGTTCGTGTCATATTTCGCCAAAGTTTCAGACAAACGAACACACAGATGGGTACATGATTGTGTTGACTTTAGTGGAGGCGATGAGAAGCTAGGAACCACAGATCTGTGCAGGCAGCGCTGTGAAGGAGAAAACAGCTACATAACGACACACCTAAATGTGGCAGAGAGGAGCAGGTGAAGCAGACAACAAAAACAAACCAGCCGGGACTTACTTGTCATCCATATGAAGGCAGGGAGGACACTTGATGGCCAGCCATGTTTTCCACTGAACATGACGTACTTTGTATACCTGTCCAAATCCACCTGAGCCAATCTTCTCCCAGCTGTTGAACTCAGACGAGTCAAAGGTTCTTAACAGCCCCATGTTCCCGTGAGGAGAATCCGGGACGTCCATTTCCATGTTAGGAGACCCAACAGGGTAAAGTCCTGTTTTTTCACCCCTTCGCCTCCTGGCACAAAACAGTGAACACACACACACTGACTTGACAGCTTGTGAGCTCTTCCTTGTTTYCCCCCACTTCTCTTTCCCGGTAAGACTCCGCCCACTCTTCAGGTGAAGCGGGGAGGAGTGGGGGGCGGGGCCCGCTGCTGTGACATCACTTCCTGGTTCTGAAACAGGAAAAACTGAAAGCTATACAGGTGAAACATACTACACTGCCACTAAATGTTTTTAGTTGATTGTTTCTCTAAAACCTTAAAGGTAGATTTTAAATACCAGAAACGTATCATTTTACAAACACACTTTGTTCCTCTGTAGCTCATTATGAAACAAAACAAGTGACAAAAGAGGCAACAAAAGGAAACATGAGTTTGTGAGTTTAGGTGCAAAAAAATCTCATGAAGCACAGGGCAAGTTTTAACAAAACTCAAATAATCATTGGATGTTCATCTACATCTGACAGGGTTTTAGGGTCAAACTGACTCAAAATAATAAAACAAAAATAATTATGATTCAGTAAATTTTACAGACACTGTCTAAAGTAGCTGAGACTGATGGCCAACGTGAGTGCTGAATGTGACCCATCACATCAAAACAAGATTAAATCTAAAAGTGGTGTATGGAGAAATAGGCAAACAGTGTTTTGATTAAAACGTTTGAAAAATTAGCCTTTTGTCAAAACATAATGAATGATGATACCTTATCAATGTATCATTCGAATGAAGTGTCTGAAATAATCATAAAACTAATTTTTGACGCACTTTTTGAGCAGTGGCAACAAAAAAAAAACTGATTTTGAGGAAAAACGCCTTAAAATTTTGAGATTTTCCATGTGAGCTAGAAATATTTTTGTTTCTTTCCAGCTGGGAAATTTTAATATTCAAATATAATTTGAGGTTTCCTCTTCATAACGACATCAAAAATTCCTCATTAAAATTACATAAAAATGGGATTCAGACCAAATGCATTATCATAACCAACAACACAAATTAAGTCATATACTGTATATGGATTTACTTATGATGTCAGAAAGATTAGGAAATGTAATTAGGTTATTTGGACAAAATGTGACTTAATTCTGATTTTGATATGATTGGTCACAAATAAACACTTTGTTTACAGATTTGGTAATAACTATTTAGAGTCAACTTTGTCTGTTGGCAAAATATTTTGTGAACCACTGGAAAAATTCAATAAAATTCTCAAAAATTAGTAACTAATTAATCAGGCTAGTCCAAGATGACCCCCACGCCACGACATTACAAAACACAAAAATTGATATATTTCTGTCAGTTTTACATAGGAGGAAAAAAAGTTGTGTTTGTAGCTGAGAATACTTCACAACACATGTTGCACCAAATATTTTTAAGGTTTGACTAAAATATCTACATTCTTTACATTTAAAACTCTGGCATGAAGGACGGGGGCTGTTTTATACAAATGGTGATTAGCTCACAAAAACATGCATCATCAGCACAAAGCAGCTTTGTTCACAGTACTTATCAGAAGCAGTCAGGTATTTGCAGAAACCACTTCTTTTTTACACAAACTATTTAAGAAGTTCCTGTTTTACAAGGTGTCAGGTCTCAGTTATCAAAATCCTGTCAAATCTAAACTGGAGGTGTTAATCTGTGCTTCATGATTCAATTAGTGTGACTCTTTTTACTTGGTTAAAAAAGAGAGCTCAGTTACATCTCCAAACTAACAGCTAGCATGGATCTGTTGATTGATTTTAAATTATGTTTTATAATCTTGGTGATGACTTTAAGGTTGATACACAGTGAAAATCTTCAGTTTATTTTCAAAACGATGCTTTAGATTTTGAGTTTTGTGGAAATCTTATGAACAGTTAATATCTTACCTGTTCTAGATAGCTCTTTAAACAACCTCATCTGAGTGTGGCTAAGCTGCCACCTTAAAGCAGCTTCAGTGTCAAACATTTCATAGCAGATCATGCAACAACACTAAATTCAAATCATTTACAATCCCTGTTTGTTTTCCACTACACATTCAGCAAAACTAACAATGATTCTGCTGAAATCTGGCTGAATGCTGCAGCTCACCACTGCTGATTTTTGCACTACAAAAAGAGAGAATCTCATGTAAAAATAAATAAATAAATAAATAAAAACTAGAAAGAGGAACTGGAAACAATGTAGAAGTTCACATATAAAATGCCTAGATTCAATGTGCTTTTTGGAGCAACAATCTAGATCTTGGCCTCATTTTGTGTGTGTGTGTGTGTGTGTGTGTGTGTGTGTGTGTGTGTGTTTTGCTACCTGGTGGGAATGATTTTTGACCATTTTCTTGGTACACACAGCCTGGTGGAGACCTACTGTTCCTAATGGGGACAAAAGCCCAGTCCCCATTGGCAGAGATACTGTTTGTAGGTCAGGGKTTCAGTTTAGGACCAAGGTGTGAATTGAGTTTAGGTTAGGCTTAGGGTCAGGTACCTGTGAGGTTATTTAGAGTTGGGGGTCAGGGCTAGGCTATACAAATCACTGGTAAATAGATGGAAGTCAATGCAATGTCCCCATGAGGATAAAAGAACAAACATATGTGTGCGTGTGCTRCCAGTCTAAGCGATAATTATAACAGGTAAGATATTGTTTGTTCACAAGCTTTTCACAGAACCCCACTTCAAAATGTCTGCACTGTTCCTTTAAGCTTGTTAGATTAAATTTCTCCTCTTTCAGACAGTTTAGTGGTACTGGAGTAGATACTTTGTAATTTCTATTTGAAAAAAAAACATAAATAAACTTTGCTTACTAATGTACAGTATGTGTTTATAAATGTTGGTATGTGTCAGAACGAATGATTCAAACAAGACTACGTGTTTTATGTTGCAACCTTTCAATGGAGTTTTTCCTTTGTACTCGCAATGAAGACATGTGCCACCTGATGTGGTCTGCAGCTCCATGAAGAAACTGGAAGGACCAGATTAAAGAATAAATATGTCATCATGGAGGCTGTTGATTGACATGGTAGGAGCTTGATTTATTCTAGATAACAGATCAGCGTTTTGTTTTTGTTTTTCTTGAAGCTCCAGCTCTTCAGAGCATCAACACTTGCTCAGTTCAGGGGTCAAAGTTTAAATCCCTGGAGCTGTTAATCAGCATGTAATGGTGGATTTAATGTAAACGAGATAGGAGCTTTTCTTTCAAGTGGTAAATAGCTTCTCTCTTAATTAATCCTCTTTTTTTTATCATAAAAAACAGGAATTAAAAAATGTTTAGGGAGAGTATTATCGCCCCCTAGCGGATGTGCTCGAAATGACAGCGTTTTAAAGCAGCTAAAAGTAAAGTGAATGAAGAACAAATTTTGTTCTTTTTTTGATAAAATTCCGCCGGTGCTAAGTTATATCTTTACTCTCCTCAATCATTAGCATACTGTTTGAATAAAAACTGACTTCTAAATTACTGTTTCACACACTCCTGGCATTCTCTTGATGAGCTTCAAGAGGTAGAAAACGTGTACAATGGGTTGCCTTCATGCAGGCCCAGGCCTCCCTTGARAAAGAGATCCGCGATCTCAATGGGACTTGCCTGGTAAAATGACGGTAAATAAAAATAAAAATAAATAGTCACCTGAAATGGTTTTCACTTCAAAGGTGTGCCCTGTCAGGTTTAAGTGTGAGCAAAGTGTGTGTTCAAGAGTGTGTGAAGCAGTAATCAAAGCAAAAGGTGTCTACTTTGAAGAATATAAAATATATTTTCAGTTGTTTCACAATTTTTTGTTAAGTATATAATCCCACATGTGTTAATTCATAGTTTTGACGCCTTCAGTGTGAATCTACAATTTTCATAGTCATGAAAATAAAGAAAATTCTCTGAGGTGTGTCCAAACTTTTGGAGAGAGAGAGAGAGAGAGAGAGAGAGAGAGAGAGAGAGAGAGAGAGAGAGAGA